CAGAGTACTGTTCACTTGTATTCTGTCTTGTAATAGAATTTTTGTATCCATATCTTATCTCCCTTTGGGACTGCCCTTCTTATCTTTGCATCCCCAAAGCACTCAGTGCAATGACTCGCTTATAGTAAACATTCCAATGGTGCTAAGTGAAGCAAAGCAAAAAGGAATGTGCTGGAACAAAATAAAACTATCCTGGTCACCATTATAAGGTCAGTCAGAGAGTGTCACATCCCAAGACCCTATTACAGGCCTAGAAACAGATGAGGCAAAGAATAATTAAGAAAAATGGGCCGGGCGTGGTGACTCATGCCTGTAATCCCAGCACTTTGGGAGGCTGAGGTGGGCGGATCACCAGGTCAGGAATTCAAGACCAGCCTGACCAACAAGGTGAAACCCACCGCTACTAAAAATACAAAAATTATCCAGGTGTGATGGCGCACACCTGTAATCCCAGCTACTTGGGAGGCTAAGGCAGGAGAATCGCTTGAACCTGGGAGGCGGGGGTTGCAGTGAGCCCAGATCACGCCATTGCACTCCAGCCTGGGTGACAAAGCGAGACTCCATCTCAAAAAGAAAAGGAAAGTATAAGAAAAGAAAAGCACAGGCCACGAGGATGCTGGTGAAGAACCACTGGAAGACTGGGATGAGAAGTAAACGGTGATTTTCCACAGCAGCCCATACATTCAATACCACAGGACATTACAGAGCAATATAGTTTAAGTGAACATGTTCAATGGCATGGTGGGGGCAGGGGATGGGAGATGCTGTCAGCTATGAGAGGAAGACTATGAGAGGCCAACAGACGGGAGGAAAGAGATGCCGCCTGAGAGTATGTAAACTCCTGTAGTTACATTCTGTTCACTCTGGGATGGCGGAACAGCTGTCTAGTCAAGATTTTTTGCCTAATTCTAAGAGTACAGGGCCTATGAATTTCTTTATAAGAAAATATATCTCTAACAGCCTTTTCAGACATCCCCTTTATACCACTTGGACTGCTGCCTCCCTAGTGGTGAATTTCACTTAGGTTTATGTGAGTTTCTGTAGGAAGTGAATGGCTTTGTATGTTGTGTGCGTGCATGCGTGGGTATGCATGCATGCATGTATATATGTGTGTGCCTGTGTGTGCACACGTGTCTGTGTGTGCATGTGCCTGTGCGTGCATGTGTGTCATAAGTGCATTAGGGCATGTGCATAGCACTTCCCGCATACCTCTCTTTTCCCTTGGGAATTGCTCCAAGGTAGAAGCTGTTCTTAAACAACCTCTGCAGACTATAAAGTCTGGAACAGATCATGTGGTCCGGTCCCCTACCTCCATGAAGTAAAGTTATTCTTAAAAAATCATGTTTTCTTAATAAAGGACCACCCTGTGGTGAGGGCTGTTTTTTTCTATTGCACTGACCTCTTTCCAACCTTCCCAGCCCAGAATCTCTTTGATGAAAAATTAAACAATAAAGTGTCCAGAAACAAAGGATGCTATGAGTAATTTCAGAGTGGCCCAGACTTTCATTTTTCCGAGTAAAAACGTCCTGAAGTGTCATTAAATTCATGATACCTATTATCTTGCTGAAGGATGACTGGCTCAGTTGTTCCTGGTGCCAATCAGTGGTCATTAGTTCACTTCTCAGAGATACCAGTTCTGGCAGCTGGATCCTGGGTACCAGTCTCTGCTATGCAGTGAAAGCACACAGGCCTGTAGGTCTCTGCAGCACCAGAACGCTGCGTACACAAATAACCTTTTGATTGTTCTTTCTCGTTCCTCTTACCTTGCCTCTCCAGCCCCAGCCACCAGGTCTCAGAGGACTCGTGGAAGCACTTGCCTAGCCCAGCCCTGTTCTGAGCTTGCAATTCACTTGTTATCTCCATGCATCTTCCCGCATTGTCTGTCTTTCTTTGGCCTTTGTGCTCTTCCTGTTCCCAGCGAGTGTCTGAACCAGGTCCAAGACTCACTTCTCTCTTCACTGTTCCCATGTCAGTACCCTACCAGGTAGCATGAGCTATAACACCACTGAGTTTTACCATCATAAACTGGAGAGAGGCAGCTGCTTCCCAAATGGATGCCCCTGAAAACAAAGGAGGGTATGCGCTGTTTCCGTTTCCCTCACTTGGCAACTAGGGAAATAGCCTTGTGGCCATCCTGTGGACAGCTGGCAATTAGCACACTTTCTGTGCAAGGATTCTGCACGAGCGGAAGATTACTAAATTCTTGCTCTCCTCCATGAGGAATACTGGCCAGAAAGAACCACAGATTATATTTTTCTAGGTTATTCCATTTTATGAACCTATTTTGAATATGCCAGAACTATATTTGTCACCTCAGAATTGGGGTGGGGGGCTGGGGAGGAGGGAATCAGGAGGTGATAGCTTTCTCGCATGGCTGCGACAAATAGCTACAAACTTGGTGGCTTAGAACAACACAACTTACAATGTACAGTTCTACAGGTTAGAAGTCTGACACAGGTCTCGGCTAACATCGAGGTATCAGCAGGGCTGCATGCCTTCCTGGAGACTCCAGGGTAGAATCAATTTCCTTGCCTTTTCCAGCTTCTAGAGGAAGTCACATTCCCAGGCTCTGGGCCCCCCTCTCCATCTTCAAAGTTTTCACCAGTGCATCTCTCTGCCCACCCTGAAGATAGAGGTCCCCTAACTACAGCTGGAAAGGGGTCTCTGATTTTAAAGAGCCATGTGATTAGTTTGAGCACACCTGGATAATCCAGGATGCTCTCCCCACCTCAATGTCTTTAATTTCATCCCATCTACAAGGTCCCTTTTGCCAAGCAAAGTAACGTGTTCTCAAGTTCTGGAGATTTAGGGGAAACATTATTCCACCTACCACAGAAAACCACTGACTTTTGTCAGTAACTGAAAGGAAAAAATTTACTGGGCCAAATTTGGTAGAAAGAGGAGCAGCAGAATGCCTTGATACGTTTCTGTCTTGATACATGTTCTACAGCAAGAAACTCAAGACAAGTCAGTGTATATTTTAAGTCTTGTTGTGTGAAGGCATACGTATCTCTACTTTTGTGAGCGTCCTATGTGCTACTTTAATCAGTATATGTTCAGTGATCATATGTGTAATCAGATATTTAAATGCACATATACATAATGATATATGGAGATGTTTATTAAACTGTATTTACTCTATAAAGTAAGACTTCATTTTTTGTGGTTGTTTTTGTTTTTTGAGACGGAGTTTCGCTCTTGTTACCCAGGCTGGAGTGCAATGGCGCAATCTCAGCTCACCGCAACCTCCGCCTCCTGGGTTCAGTCAATTCTCCTGCCTCAGCCTCCTGAGTAGCTGGGATTACAGGCACGCGCCACCATGCCCAGCTGATTTTTTGTATTTTTAGTAGAGACGGGGTTTCACCATGTTGACCAGGATGGTCTCGATCTCTTGACCTCGTGATCCACCCGACTCGGCCTCCCAAAGTGCTGGAATTACAGGCGTGAGCCACCGGGCCTGGCCTGTTTTTTGTTTTTTGAAATGGAGTCTCGCTCTGTCACCCAGGCTGGAGTGCAGTGGCATGATCTCGGCTCACTGCATCCTCTGCCTTCCGGGTTCAAGTGATTCTCCTGCCTCAGCCTCCCAAGTAGCTGGGACTACAGGCATCCGCCACCAAGCCAGGGTAATTTTTGTAGTTTTAGTAGAGATGGGGTTTCACCATGTTGGCCAGGCTAGTCTCGAATTCCTGACCTTGATCTGCCCGCCTCAGCCTCCCAGAGTGTTGGGATTACAGGCGTGAGCCACCTCACCTGGCCTATAAACTATGACTTTGATGTCCTCATAGTATTTGAGCAAGAAAACAACCAAATGTTTTAGCTAAAGTGAAGACAGCATTTAACCTAACCCAATTAAACTTTAAGTTGAACACAGAGTAGCAGATGCAGTTCAGCTCCATGACACTGGGCATCTAAATGCTCTGTGCTTTGGTGTCCTTGTCTGCATATGACATAGAGCCACAGATCTCAAAGATCTCTTTCATTCCGTGAAAGGGCTCTCAATGTGTGAAACTGACTGCTTTTCCTGCCATTTTCCAAGAGAATAATCTTAACCCTACATTGTGGAGATCGGAGTTGTTCTCACTTGATAAAAAGCCAGTCCCACAAGCAGCTTGGTACCCAAGCACCAATCTGTTTATTGCTCATTAGAGATGAAGAACCGTATTCATAAGTCATGCTGAAACGGAGTGTCATCTCCAGACAAAATCAGCACCACCCCCTCCTCAGGACTGGGATTTGACTGCTTTCCAAGCCACTGCTGACCAGGCTCCATTGCCCAGCTTGGCTGATGAGATCACCGGCAGAGTACCATGGGTGCAGACGGGGCCTGCTGTTTCAACATGTTTTCAGGAGGGCTCTTGCCCACATTTCTTGGAGAGATGTGAGCACCAAACAGACTGAACCATCCAGCCCATCACTGAGCAGAGCCGTCTCTCTTCATCCCTTTGCATTTGGTTTGCATTTTTATGTCATGCCTCCTTCCCTGGATAAAAGGGATAAGAGGAGTTTCTCAGATTTGATTTCTCAGTGGGAACTGTTTGCTTTGGAAGCCACCTACGCCAATGCTAATTGAGAACAGAGCTCAGAATGAGAGCCTGAGAACTGCACCCGGATGAACTTTTTGGTGGGCTGATTTCTGTTGATCTTGTCAGAATTAGGTTGTATATGCATGTAATACCATAATCAACTATTTGCCAAAAGGCTGAGCAAATGCATCAGTCTCTTTTTCCTTTGACTAGTTACTTACCTTGGAAAATATATTTGTAATTAAGCATATAAAGTCTTCATCAGGAAAGCTACTGGGGATCCTGGCCCTGACTACCCAGCAATAACATTTCTGGAACTCTTGAAGCAATCGGTGTTCTTTAATCGCCAAACATGATGGGCTTCTATTAGAGAGATTACAGTAAAAAATAACAATCAGCTCTCTGATGATCCTGTGAGGAGGGATCGGGTGGGGAGGAGTAGATTTGGCTGAGGACAAGCCCAGACTTTCGTCACAGGGACAGACCAACGTGTTAACACAAAGGGAGAACACGGGAGCATCCTGCACCGTGCATTTCAGCCACAGATCACATGGCCCGTCCGCAGGCCCGGCCCACGCCCTGACCGCCCGGCCCGGCCAGGTCTCTGTACCTCTCTGCCCCGCAGCCCCTTCCCAGCTGCGGACATGCTGGGTGGATCCGGATCGCATGGAAGACGCAGCCTGGCCGCGCTCTCCCAGTGAGTCCTCATTTCGCTTCTTTGGTTTTTCCTTTATTTTCTATTTTTTTTAAACAAACGAATTGTTGTTTAAAAAAAAAATGTGGGAGTGGGAGGGGAGAGGAGGAGACAGCAGGCAGGAAAGGAATGCAGTGAGTGTGTGAGTTTCAGACCTGTCTGAAACTTTCCGGTCTCCACTTCATGGTTGTTCTGATTCACTGGTTTTTCTCGTTTCCATTTTAATGGTGGTTTGTGGACCATTTGCCAGGGGTTTATACCTGGGCACAGGTTTCTCCGTGTCAAATAGCAATCCACAAAGCATTGTGTTTCTAAAGGTCTGCTGTTAATTTAGACCTTAGCCCTCCCTTCAGAATGATCCGTTTGCAGGACTCAGAGATTTCGGCTAAACCACACATTGCCCAATCCTTAAAGTAAACAGCCAAAGCCCTCGATATACTGACCATCTGACTGAGACAGAACAAGATTCAGAGCATATGCTACTGATCAAGGAATTGTTCAGATAACGGGCTCTAAGGGTTTAGGATCATGAAATGCTGGAATGTTTAAGCCGGGAGGGAGGCCTTTAGACTCTGGTGCAATGCTCTCCTTCAACAGGCAGGGAAACAGAACCCAGAGGGGTAACTCAACTTACCCCAAAGCAGACAACAGTTGGTAGCAAAGCCATGTCTTTGTACTCTCATGCAGAGGGCCATTTTCACACTGGTGTTTATGAGGTTTGAAAAGCGTACTGGGTCTTGGGAAAAGGTACCGCACAAGAGTAAGAACACCAAATGGCCTTTCAGTAAATCTTTTCCATTTTTGAGAGTTTTGGCACCGATTCAGCATGACAATTGTTGTTCCAGTTGTTCCAGCGTTTGTGCAACAGTTAATCAAATAAACAGAGGAACTCATCAGAGTCCTGAAAACAAGACCCATGTCCATTACATTAGCAGATCTCTTGGATAACTAGTTTCTGTAAGTGTGATTATTCACGTGGGAGAGCTCAAAGGGACTTTAGAGGTTACCTGTATAGTCCAGGGCTTATCAAACTTTTTTAAAAAATCAAGTTTAATCTTAAAGGGAATACTGTTATGTGAAGGAGATGTTCTGGTTAAAGGGAAGGTTTGAGGTCTGGAGCTCCTCATCCTCGTTCCACTCTCCAGCCATAGCCCACAGCACGATTCTACCCCACGCTTCAACCCTCTTCTACCCCACCTCCCCATCCTCTTCATCACAACTTCCTTGGAATCCTAGGTCTCCATGGGACAGCTTTGAAACCACTGATCTCATTGAAAGCCTTCATTTCAGGTGAGGAAAACTGAGGCACAGGAAGGGCTTGCCCAGGGTCAGACAGCTGATCAGCCATAGAGCGTGGAATGCTAAGAAAAGAGCCCAGTCTGCCTAGTGCTCTCGTTCTCTCTCTCTCTCTCTCTCTCTCTCTCACTTTCTCTCTCTCTCTGTCTCTCTCTCCCCCTCACTCACCTCATGGTCCTGACCCTTGTTTCCACTCCTTCATGCCTGAGGTTCTATCAGTCTGCTTTCTCTGTGTCTCTCTTCTCTGTTTACTCTGCCATTTCCTGGATTTCAACAGCTATTGCCTCTCACTGGGATGGTTGTCATTGCCTGCCATCTGGTCCTCGGCCTCTGTCTGTCTCCCCTTTCTGATCCAACCCCCTACAGCATCCTTGAAGATAAAGTCCACTGTCTCCATATTACAGCATTAAAAGTTCTCCACAATATGCCTTCAGTATTTCTTCCCATTCTGACTTCCACCAGGGAGAATGCTAAAAACTTTGCAGGAAAATAAATAAATGATAGGAATAATTTTATCAGATTCTGCAGAAATAACAAAAGAAATGCATGCAGGGATGTTGGTATTTGTAAAAAGTACAGGAGTACCTGATCCAGTGAAATAAGATCACTCACAGTGCCCCAAACTCAGCATGTACAAGCCACCACTCTCCCCTGACTCATTCTGTTCCCTACACAGGGAACACTCTTTTTCTCCTCTGTTTCTGACCACCTCCCTGTCCTGCAAGGCCCTGATCAAATGCTCCCATCCTCTGTAAGCCTTCCTCACTCCTCCCTTCTCTCACTCTGATAACGTTTGCCCAACCTTCTTCTGTTAGCTTTGTACCATCAATTGAGGAAAATGATGAGGCAAGTCTCAATCATTTTAGGAGGTTTATTTGCCAAAATTAAGGATGCACCTGGGAGACATGCTTTTATCTGAAGGTGATTTTGAGGGCTCCAGATTTAAAGGGGAAAGGGTAGGATATTGAGAAGTACACAGTTTTCATGTAAGTGAATCTGCATTTTTTAGATAAGATAACATAAAAAGGGGCAGAGGAAAAAATGTAGGGAATCTGCATTTTACATCCCATAACACAGAACATGGGGTAGGGTAATAATCAGATATGCGTTTGTGTCTGGTGGGCTGGGGTGACTGCACCTGTAAAGATAAGCTACCAGTCTGCATTGCCATGGTGATTCTTTGTGGGCAAAATATGGGGGAGACTTTTGTAGCTTTTCATCTTGTAGTGGTTGGTTGTATTTAGGAACTACAAGGGGGAGGCAGGTTTGAGTGGCCCACTTCCCATCTTGACTTTTCCCTTAGTCTAAATGCGTTCGGGGGTCCCAAAACTTAATTTCCTTTCTCAGTACTAAAGTTAGTGTTGAACATAGCTCTCTTCCCTCCCAATCAATGGTAATTCACTTGAAGCAGAACGATTTTGAATCTTTGAATCTTCAGCATCCAGAACAGGGCTCATGCTCCAGAAATATTCTTTAAGTTTCCTATTATTGACTAAATCAAACTCAGTTCACCTGAGTTTACGTTTTTCATCTGAGTCATTTGAACATACAAAGCCTGCACTCCTTTTGCTTTGCAAGACGACTAGGTTAAATGCTAAAATAGGTGCCCAACAAAATGAATTCTAAGTTCCTTTGCATTGCCATCAGATAATGTATCTCTGTTTCGTCACCTGTGGAGCAAGATTGGCTGTGATTTTTTTAATGAGGCATGTTAAAATTCCTGACTGCGAAGACCGACACAAGGGCCATGTTATTTTCAGGAGCAGGTGTGAATAGTTGTTCAGTTATTTTGATTTCAAGGTATATTTGGTTCTACCAGGATCACTGAGCGCTTCTGTGACTTGCAGCTTAATATTTTCACTGCTACTTCTATCATTTTCCCAAAGCCTAAGGAATTTTACTTGCAACAAGATTTGGAGTTTCCTGTAAATATTTGTTTTAGTCCACAAAGTTATTTTGCTTACAGAGAAGTGTGCTTTTATATATTTAGCAGATGAAAGTTACAAGTTTTATTTTTGAGTTACATTTTCTAACAAACATGGAAGGGTATATAAATTGTAAAATCATGGAGTCAAGGAAACATAGGAAATTATTTAGTTCATCCCACTGTTTTCTCAGGGAACTGATTCCAAAACAGTGCTGGGAAATAAATGTTTGCCATCATTTTTAAATATTCTGCAGAAGTGACAAAGGAAATGAACACAAGAATATTGAGATTTGTCAAAAGTTTAGGAATGCCTGGTTTATTCAATGTTATCAGGAAATGTAGCATTATAATTATCCAGGATGCTAAATTCTGTGTAAGTTTTATATATATATATATATATATATATATATATATATATGCACACACACACATACATTTATATGTATGTATTCAGTGAAAAACTCTGCCTTCATTAAAACAGATATTACAATACATTTAAACATTCTCGAATTGCTAGGAGTTTTCCTCATGAACATAGTTTTTTAATCATGCTGTAAAATAGTGTGATACCTCAGGGGATAAGACTCCCATCCAAAAATGGGTCCAGTTATTATATGATGCCTTCCATCTACTTATTGATGCTTTTAAATCTCCTCCAGTACCTATTAATGCATCTGCTTCTACTGGTCCTGCTCCCTATTCTGCTGTTGCCAAGAATAACAGGGTTCCCATTTGTTAGAATTATGTTCAAAGTAAAAATCAACAATCTGGTGAGACAGGCCTTCTCTCTTACAAAGTAATGGGCATTTACATTTTGTGACTATTGGTTTGTAGGCCAAACTGACCAATGTTGCTTAATTTTTGTTCAATGAAAGATTTTAAATGATCTGGACCCCTTATCTGGTTATGGATAAAATTGCTACTGCTGTTTATAGATGAAAAATAAAAAAGAATGGCAGAGAAATCGGTCATTGTGCTTTGCACGTGTTGGGTACTCTGCACATGATATTGCTGCACTGCACGAGCAGTGGTGATTACGGAGGTGGTCTTGACCTTCACACTGATTCAATACCTGGTGGCCACAAGCCTTTCAAATCTGTTGATGTTACTTGCATTGCTATCTGTGTTTTTCCCTCTCCTTACCTTTGACCTATCGGTCCTTGAAATGAGCCCTGCCGACGCTGCTTCTCACATTCCTCTCAGCCCATCAAAATCACTTTATAGAGACAAGCCTCACAGTGGCAAGAGGAATGAGAAATGGGGAAGAGGTCCTCTGTTCTCTGAAGGCGAACTTACCGTGGCATTTCTAACTGAACCCGTGAGGGTCTGCTTCCCTATAGAAACACGGCTTCAGTTCTCCATACCAGCTTCAGATGTACCTTGGATTTAAAAAGGTGGTTGGCTGGGCATGGTGGCTTATACCTGTAATCCCTGAACTTTGGGAGGCCACAGCGGGCAGAACACAAGGTCAAGGGATCAAGACCATCCTGGCCAACATGGTGAAGCCCAGTCTCTACTAAAAATACAAAAATAGCCAGGCATGGTGGTGCGTGCATGTAGTCCCAGCTACTTGGGAGGCTGTGGCAGGAGAATCGCTTGAACTTGGGAGGTGGAGGTTACGGTGAGCTGAGATCATGCCACTGCACTCCAGCCTGTTGACAGAGTGAGACTCTGTCTCAAAAAAAAAAAAAAAAAAAATGGTGGTTGGTGGTTATAGGCTGGTCTGAGATTCCAACTACCACGTGTCCTGATGTCAAAGTTTCAAAAGGTAATTTACAAA